TTTTATATTTAAAACGAGAGTTCAATCATCAAACTTTTTTTGTTCATAACTTTTTTATAAACAATGAGCGACGGATAAAACCTTCATATTATTATTCAGAGAGGTGACCTTGATAACATATGTCAAAATTGTTGAGATCGGAAAATAGTCCGTATAACTGCATAATTACCTTGCATACTTATTTGTTTCAAAAATAAATTGTGTTGCAACGTAGATAAGAAAAGAGTTAAAATGAGAATAGGCACGCGTAAATAAACAAGCACCTATTACGTCTAAAAAGTAAATTTCATTTATTTATCGTACATTTTCATTCGACATACACATCTCGTCTAGACGTCGCGCGAGCGCGTCTTTAAATATGATCGAATAACAGCCGAGTTTTTCGTCGGGGAGTCATTCACGCGCGCGCGCGCGGGGGATGAATAAAACTAAAAAGAGCGGGACAAAATTAGGTTCTGAATACACACTGCGCAACAAGCGCCGTTGAGTTTCTATTCGTGGTAATTATGCGGACACTGTGCGAATCTACATTTCGGCGCGGCTCGAGCGAATGCAGATGCCGGTTTTACGATCTCTGCAAGTGAGCCACGTTGAAACGAGCTAAAAGCATCATCTCCAAGCGAAAGATTCCGCTTGCGCTCCGTCCGAGATTTGCATCAGGATTATATAAATTTTTAAAGGAACTAAAAACAAAAAGTAGATACTTTTGATGTCTTTTAGTTTCTCCCCTCACAGTTCTTAATTTAAAACTTTAACGCGGGTAACATGACGATAGTTTGCGAAGAAAAGTATATAAAACTTTAATGACAAGTATAAAACTAGAAATGTGTATTCGTGAAATAAGTTTTATCTCGACATCAATTAATTTTAAATATCGACGATGTAATATCATTTTAAATAACATTGACGACGCGCGTCAGAATGTATATATTTTTCTTGCAATATGCAAATTTCTCTGTCTCCGAAAAAAAACGAACCGATAGTGACGAACGTCATCCCGTGAGAATTTGCGGAATCCTTTTCATGAAGTAACGACCGATCCAGAGACGATCTTTGGGGAATGTCACGTATCCTAAAGGGTTTGAGAGAGAGAGAGAGAGAGGGAGTGAATGGGATGGACAGGGCTAATGTAATTTTGCTTGCTCCGGGAATGGCAAATGTTGGAGAGAAAAACTGTGTAAAACGGAAGATTAAATTCTTAATTTACGTTCGCTTTACGACCACGCGGCGTGTAAAGCCGACCTCCGGAGATTGATATTGATACAGTTGCGACGATGATTCTCGTGCGGCTTACGAAAGGTTGAACAGTTAATAAGTTTCAAGGAAAACTGAGACGAAGCAATATACATAGTGCGAGTGTGTTGAAAGGTGTTTTTAATAATAATCAAGTGTTTACATAAAAAGTTAAAAAAAAAAACAGTTTAGCGCTTTTGTTTGCTCTTAGAATTCACATATTTTTTTTTATTGAAATACAGTCGACAAAATACAAACGACGTTGTTGTTGTTAATGGAAAATTTATTGTTAGTGTGTACTTTGTGCTCGTACTAACGTGCGTTATTTTTTTTTTTTTTTTTTACTGTAATTCGTCGTTTGTGCGAGTCGTTCTTCGCGTCGTAGACTAATTTATCCAATAAGCTACGTGGACCGGTAATAAATAAAACAGCAACGCTACGTGAATGTAAATAAGTAGCAAGGCAAGATGATGAGTCTCGGGAGAGCCGTTCTTACGACCGAATCATCTCTCCCCTTTTCTGTAAAGAACTATGAGAAATTTCCGCTTAATGTCTCTGGGCCGAATACTCGTTTCCGCAGCTTTTCATTCGGTCTCTACGCCGTGGTCTTGTATATCACGGCGCCGGATGCGGGAATCTTCACGGTGGTGACGTCTTCGACGATCTCTCTAAACACACAAAGAAAACGGATGCAATAAGTTTTTTTAAAAAGACAAGGACATATCAATAAAGCGCGAAATAAGGTACAGCAGTATAAAAAAATATCTCTCTTCTTGATATCACTTTCGATAACTCGCGTCAGTTTTTTGCGAAATGCGCATACTTACCCAATCAGATGAGCAGCGTTCGTGGACGCGTAATAAACCGTCAATTGATCTGAGGCTTGTTGAGTGAGCGGCGTTAAGTCGACGGTCTTCTCGGTATCCGCAAAATTGACCGCTACGTAAACCGACTCTTCTTCAGTTTTTCTGAAAAGACGAGGTCACAACGATTGTTTGTCTAAAAGATGTTTTAAACATCTTAGAGAGCGTCTGTAAAAGCCTTTCAGACAGGCGGCAGGGTCTGGATAGTTTCTCGTTACCGAGACGTACAAACTTAGTTTCCGCGAAATCAAATAGACATATATATATATATATATATATATATATATAAATGTTAAGAAACGAGAAATGTGTTTTGAAATTGAAAAAGTACAAAGTACATAGAGAAAGAGAAAGAAAGAGAATTAATAAATGTATGTTCTCTGTAAACCAATAAACTTAGCGCGTCTCACCTGGCGAAAGCGAAAACGTCGTCGTCCAATAAAGCTGTTTGTATGTTTCCGTTTCTGATCGCCGGCGATTTACGCAGCTCGGAAACCGCTTTGTACAAGGCGTAGTAGGATCGATCCTGCGTCTTTTGCGCCGCTAAATTAAGCGTCAGGTAGTTCTCGTTGACCGGCAGCCACGTTTTCGGGTTCGTGGAGAATCCTAAAATCGTCGAGAAGCATTCGCAATAAAATATCCGCGCGCAATTTGTATACTTCCGGGATAAATTGCGTGTGTAACGAGAGACAGAAGTTGTAATGATTGACAAATCGTTCGTTCGAAAAACTGCGAACGACAAATCAGTCGAGCGACAAGCGGGCCACAAGCCCGCGATAGCGCGCGCGAATTTTAACGCGATCGATAAAAGCCAACCTGTTTCGCCTCGAGTTCCGCATTCCGCTTTCTTTTGGAAATCTCAAAACGTTGACGAGACTATCGCGTTGATCGTTAATATGTGGATCAGTTGACGCGAAGACTTTAAAACGTTTCGTTCAAACCGGTTTATACACACATACATATGTATCGCACAATTTGTTATTTAAATTTCTTACTGCTTACGTTACGGATTGAATATATATCCGTTGATTCAGCTTTTATTAAAAAATTGAGGAAGTCAATATGACAAGTTATTCTGTAAGTTTAAAAATTATTAAATTTCAAAATATCGTTACGCGCGCACATAATTGAATATTCTTATTCTCTCATCGATCGCGAATATCTTTAAATCTTCGGAGAGTGCGACCCAGTTTCGGGAATTGTGTTTCCACAAATTTCTGGATATAGCCGGCGGACTGATATAACAGAGAGAGAATGAGAGAGAGAGAGAGAGAATGAGAGAAAGAAAGAGAGAAAGAGAGAGAGAGAGCGAGGTGATTGTGGAAAAATCCTCGGGTGACTTACCGGCTGAAGTGGTGTTATCCCACTGGAACGGCGTTCTTGCCGGATCTCTGGACGCTTTCTCGTAACCGTCCTTGCCGGCGTTACAGCCCTGCGGGTCCTTGGTGTCCTCCCACGAGATCCACGTGTCCTCCATACCGATTTCCTCGCCGTTGTAAGTCACGCTCACGCCCGGAAGCAGCAGCGTCATCATTGTTATCGCTTGTGCTCGTTGCGGGCCGTAACGAGTCACCAATCTGGACTTGTCGTGATTTCCAGCCTGCGAAAAGATCGCGTGAGCTTGGCTTGCGATTTGATAACACGTTGCGTTGTCGATTGATGTCAAAAAAAAATCGCTAAGTGCCGTATTGCGAAACGACGACGACGACGACGAAAATCGCGCGATTCGATTACTTGATAAGCGAGAAGTTACGTAGCGTTACGTAGAAGAAAAAACAAATGATTTCAACGATCGACGAAAAAAAAAAGAACATGTTTTTCTCTCGCGCGAGAAATATCGTTTCTCTTAAAAAAAGATTTGTGATTTCCATTTGTGAGATCTTTGTGGAAAAAAATTCGAGCGAACTGTTGTTGTTTCGCAACCGCGATGGAGTGTCATATTTCTCTATCACGATCTAGAGCTCAGCAAGCTCGAAAATGTCGGGATCTCCCGTTCGCACACGTCACCCGGAGCGATTCTACTAATTACACGAGAGATCTGTCCGATCTCTACCTACCACCCAGTTGGCAGTTCCGTCCAGAATCGGCATATTCAGCATCCACTTATCGACCAGTCGCTTGTAATCGGCCGCGGTGGAGTCCTCGTTCGTGTCAGTGACCAGACCGAAGTTGAAAGGAAAGTGCGACCCGTACACGTAATACTTCATCGTCGCTGTAAGATTTGCGTAAGCCTCCATCATCATGATCCTCTCCTCGGGATGATACTCGTCAAGGACTTCTCGCCATTTCTTGACTATATCGTAAGTGCGCTGCTGACCCTGAGTGTAGATTTTTTCCGTGTGTCCCGGATCATTGGGATCTGGATTGTCCGTGAGCGGCTCGTCCAGGAATCTCTGATCCTCGCATAAGAACGGTATCGCGTCAATCCGAAATCCGTCCACTCCCTTGTTCAGCCAAAATCTCAGAACGTCCTGAGACAAAAACGGCAAGCAAACATGCTTCAGTAAAGTTCCACGTAACCTTCGGTTTACGACGTTCAAACGAATGAAACTTCTGTGCGCTACAAATTACAAGTAATCTGCTGTACGTGCAAGTTACACATGTACATACGCACGTGTACGTACGTATATACGCGCTGTTATCGAAGACCTTTATTCGAAACAATATTTCGCACATGCGAGGTCGGCACGAGATGATTCAATTAATTATTCTATTGTTTTTATGCCATTTGTTTAATTGGTCATTTCGACAAATATCTCGACGCAGAGAGAGAGCAAACTTTATACAACAAAATTTTTATAATTGCGCACGCGTAATTGTCACACATCGTTTCTGTATTATTCCGTTTATTTTATTTTTTTATTGTAATGTTCCAATATTTGAAAATTTTTATAGAAAGTACGCGGGCACACTTTCAGTGCGCTAAGTTAAATTAAAAAAAAAAAAGAAAAGATGATCGCACGTTGAAAATATTGGATTAAAGAAAGAGAGAGTGAGAAAATTGCTCTTCACTCGACTTCGCTTGATTCTGTAACGTGAATGTGACATTCGGAAAAATGTTGTGTGACAGGAGAGACTTGAAGAAATTGACGCTGCTGGTAAAGAAAAACGTTTCGCTCTCTTCGGAGAGCAATTTTACAGTTAGGACGAGCAAAGAAATTGAATGAGACATGTGTCGTGTGTTGCGGTCTTTCTATATACCTAAAGAAATTTTTGTTGCTTGCTCTTTCAACGGGAGAAATACATCGGAATGAAGTATCTGTTTTGTGAGCGGAATGTACAAAAGATACATTTTCTGACGGCGCGGTGTTTTTCGCGAATTTAAATGTCGCGAAAAGTTTTCGAGGCTAGCCAACGTCGAAATGATTGCAAATTGCATCACGCGAGCTCGCTGTGCGACTCCTGTGTGTATGTTGTACGAATACGTAGTTTGTTCAATTCGTATTTTATCGCGTGTACCACACTGTACTTTGCAACTTCTAGTATTACGGTCGTGTGTATTCCGTCATTTTACTGTTTCTCGAATTACGTTGCGCGCAGAATTTGTGATATAACGAACCGAGAAACTTTTAACTAGTATTACACGCATACGAAAATTCATATTCAGAATCCTTGGCAGCGTAAACGAAAAAAAAAAAAAAAAAAAAAAAAAAAAAAAAAAAAAAAAAAAAAAAAAAAAACCGCGCGCGTTTTAACAACTGTTTGGAAAATCTGACCTTTTGCCTTTACTTTTAAGTGCGTGGTGCAAATAATTTGTTTGAAAGTTTGTTATTCCGGCTCGGCGAACTAATGTGTTTGTTAAAGTGATCGTATAATTATCCGGCCTCTCACGCACGCGTTGCTGACGTGTCGTCGGTCGTGCGATCATTACCGATTGTTCCCGGTTAGCGTGTGTGCGTTTGGCGCGGAAATTTGTTTTTTTTTTTTTTTTTTTTTCTAAGAGTGCCTTTGAAAAATTGACGAATTATGTTCACACACGTCCGCTTTCGTGCGTTCGTCTTGAGCATAATTTCACGCTCGTCGCGCTTCGGCTAATTGCATCCGCTTTGCATGAATCAAAACACATCTGTTTGTCTGTCTCGCACATTTTCAGCAAGCGTTGATTTATTTATAATGCGCGCGCGAATGTTGTGTTGTTAATTACTCCCGGCTGTTATTTCGCGCACGGCACGCACGTTGCCTCGACGTCGATCGTTTTCTGTCGCCGACGTGATTTTTCGGTAATCCGAGCCGAGTTTTAGCAGAGAAGCGTCGTCTTTGCTTCGGGATCAAAGCCGGGAGAAAAGAAACGACGACGCGAATGTTTGATTCTCTCAACGATGTGCGCGAAAATCCGCCGCTGCGGGAACGACGACGAGGAGCGGGGGAGGGGAAAAGCGGATGATGCCCCTTGTGTGACAAATACAGGTCGGATTTATTTTTCAACCCTCTCCCTAGTCGAGCGACACCGACAACGTTGTAATCCGCCGTCCTTACTTTGCCGCGCGGTTATCCGAGACAACGGAATAACAAGATAATCCGATATCGCGCGACTCGGACCTAAACGAGACTATATATGTTTAATTACCGATTGTTTTCCCTTTCGCGGACCGCAATTAGGCTTCCTATTAGATTTCACGTACAGACGCGGGCGATTAATACCGGGCGATTCGAGTGATATAAAGTTTGGTTTTGCGAGATAAAATTCCCGGAGAGAGAGAAAGGAAGAGAGAGATATGTATACGATATCGTTTTATTTATTAGTCGCTCTGGGGAAGTTCCGCTCAAACGCATAAACATAAACAAAAAAAAGAAATAATAAAGATGAAAAACCTAACGAACAAAAAAAGAAAGCATGAAAAATGAATGTGGAAAAAAATCAATAAAATATTAATTATGAAAAAATAAAAATGAGAGAAAGAGACAGATCGATTGATAAGCACCATTTAATTAATTCTGTCTAAATACTTAGATTCTTATTGTTAGAAAACTACAAAATAGTAACAATTTTCTCGACAAACACACAGTGGTAAATTGAAAGTAGAAAGCGCAACTGTGTGCAATCGTTTGTTTGCACTAGTTAACAGAATAAAATTATAAATATCATTTTCTCCCATTGATGACACACTATTAACGCGCAAATTTAATTACGCTCCCGCGCGATCAAATATATACGTACCTCCATTTCCTTCACCACTTGCTCGTTCTCGTAATTGAGATCGGGTTGCTCCGGCGCGAACTGATGAAGATAATACGCTTGTCGTTCCTCCCGATAAGTCCATGCTGGTCCGCGGAACACGCTCACCTATATATATATATATGTGCATGTTCAATTATTTCAATTATCCGATTATAAAATCGATCGGCACGCGCAGCAGCCTCAAAGCCAATCGCTATCTAGAACGCTCTTGAAGTCGCTGATGCGGAACAACGTCAGAATATCATCGAAGAGCGTTCGACGCATTGGTCAAAAAAAAAAAAAAAAACTGTACTTACACATATTATCGTTTATTCCGACATTCAGAAAAAAAAAAAACGCTACACGTGCACGCGTAGCTCGGAAGTGCTGACAAAATAGTTGGCGCGCGTGCTCGTAATCGCGATGATGGATCACGAACGCGGTGTCTCGACGAACGGGAACATTTTTCAGATTATTAAGCACAATCCGAAGGGATAATAGAGCGAATAAGAACCGATTAACCGAATGCGAACCGAGACTTAGACGGAATTTTTTTTTTTTTTTTTTTTGTATTTTTGCTCGATTGATTGAAGACCACCAGAATTCGAAGTGAAACCACTTAGAATGCTCGAAGTCGAATCGAGCGTCTTTTCAAGAATTCTTTTCCGAATCATTTTGCTTTACCGCGGTATACTCGATAAGATATCTTCGAGTCTGTCGTATTTTTCCTAACACACAGATAAGTGTTTCAATGATTGGACATTTATTAAATATTAATCATCCAACAATTCTCTGTTTGTTTTAAGTATTTTTTAAGATGGTTGTGAAGAGTTTAACTATTTAATCTGGAGAATCAGAATGTAAAAAAGAGATAACGTCGAAAACCGAGCGAGATAGGATGTTATAAACACCGATAATGCCGAAATTTTTGCGCGCACGTGTGCTGTCGATAGCGCCGTTGCCTTTTGAAATATAACTTGAGAGAGTTTATAGAAATTATTCTAAAAAGCTAAATAAATTGTTCATTTTCGAATAACGTTGTGCGAGCTCAATATCTGAACTGAGCTTAGTCTAACAGATGTATTCTTGATTATTAGTTTCTAGCTAATTTTTAAATTTATATAGATTTTTTTTATAAGAATAGAGGGGAATTTTTGTATTGATTTCCCTCGGGGTTACAATATTTCTTTACATTCCTTTTCCACATTTTCCACGCTCAATTTTAAGCTGATTCGATTCAATTCGCTTTTTCAATCGATAAACTCGACTTGAAAGAGACCGAAAAAATCTGACGGTGCCATCGCACTCGGGCATGGGCGTCCGCAGGCAAACCTCGGTATTTGCCTCTCCCCCTGAAGAGGCAAGTTTTTTTTTCACAAATTGTGTTTTTTTTTATCTTGAAACAAGTTTGAAAAATCCCTGGTTTTAAAATTAAATCATACATCTGTTCGTGAAAACTCTCTCTGTACAATGAAACCTTTCTGTAAAACTCATAATTTTTGAGACAAAAAAATTGCTCCCCTGAAAAAAATCCGGACGCATGCACTCAGGCCGGGAGACCACCGGATCGGTCTATAAATTGTTTTTATATAATTTTAGTTCTTTAATAAATGTCCGGTTAACGAAACAGAATTTAGATCTTAATCAGATGTTGTACTCTATCTCATTTTAAAGTTACGTAATCGCGCGCTCAAATACACATCTCGCGGTGAATGTGAAACGCCGAGGTGCAATGCCGAGATCATTTGTGCGTCTCGGCGATAACGGAGGGAATTATTTACGACGCGAGCAACTTGCCGCAAGCTTAAATATCCGTTGATGTTTAATCACCGTTTATATCTCAACGTTTCTCTCTCAACACCGCGAGAGACGAAGATTAATAATAAAAGCTGATTTAATCCAGCGCTGGGCGAGAGCGCGTGAAATAGATATACGCGGTATAGATACGCGGGAATTCGAACAGCGCGGGAAGGTAGTTCGGGTATTCGGATTAATACCGCCAACTTTGAGAACGTCGGCCAGCTTCCCGGTTCTCGCCTCGTTGTCAAAGTTTCCACGCGCGCTATTTCACGATGAGAGGAACGGTGGGCGACGGAGCCCCGTTCCCCGGGATTATATCCTCGTTGCTCACCCAATTGTTCGGCGGCGTGCGAGTCCCGTTCGGCAGCACATTGCCTTCGCGCCACACGTAGAAGTCCTTGTACGGCGGGATGCCCTGCAAACTCTTCTGGAACCATTCGTGCTTGTCGGACGAGTGATTCGGCACGAAGTCCAAGACGACTTTGAGATTCAAGTTGCGCGCGGTTTTCGTCAGTTGCTCGAAGTCCTCCATGGTGCCGAACATCTCGTCGATGCCACGGAAGTCGGAAACGTCATAGCCGAAGTCCACCATCGGGCTTGGATAAATCGGCGACATCCAAAACGCGTCAACATTAGACTCCTTCAGATGTTCCAGCTTGCTCGTGATACCTGAGCATGAAACATATTGTATCTTAAATCTTTAAACACGCTCAGCGACGAGATCTCGTTCTAATAATTCTCAAGGAAACTAAATCGAGTAAATTTCCCCGGTTGTTTTATTTTTTTCAATAAAACGTCAGATTGAGAAATATACGCAGTCAATTATTTGCTTTGAAATATCCGAAATAAAGCGATTTTTTAAATACTTCCGATTGATTCGGCAAAAACAATGTTTGTTGTCGAAAATGTTCGAATATATACTAGACAAACAAACATACAAAATAAAAAACCTAATAAATTGTAAATATGGAAAAACTATAAACTGTAAATATAGAAAAAACTGTAAAAATATTTTTTTGTATTTTATTGTATACGCAAATGTGTATCTCGACTTGTTTGTTGAATTTTTCGAATTCTAAAAAAATGCAAGTTTATCTTCTTGTTCGAAGAAATACGTTTATTTTTTTTAACACACACCTTTGAGATCTCCCACGCCATTCCCGTCGCTGTCTTTGAAGCTTCTAGGATAAACTTGGTACAGCGACATTGTCTGCCACCATGATTTCGATTTACCGTGTGCGACATTGCACAACAGCAATATCGCACAGAGCAGTATCACACCCCTCATATTTCTTCCGTTACAACTTGAAAAAAATAAAAATCGAGTATTAATTACGTACGCTAAAAGAGCGCGTATCGACAATTTATATTAGTTAAAAATACAGACGACGAGCGCGAACTAATTCTATCTATGTGTAACAATACAACGGTTTGGCTAAAAAAAAAAAAAAATACGATACGCGGTAATACAGAACTCGTTTCGATCGAGTTTCGTTCAGCGGTAACAAAATATATTCTATAACACGGATGTGTTGCGGAAATAGCTGCGTTTTAAGCAGCAAAAATAATATGTTGTTGCAACATTTGTGAAAAACAACGCGACAGAACGGCAATTAACCGCTTTTATCAAATTTGCGCGCACTCACTATTTATTGACGACGAGTGGCTATTCCGGAATGTGTTAATGGAGAACTTCTCGAGCATCTGCTGCAAGATGTACTGTTGAACAGCAAACCAATCTTTCCTCTTTTATACCCGTATTATGTAACTCCGCGCGATCGGTAGGAATTCCGCGGAGTCGCGCGAACTGTTGACGATATATATTTTTTTTTTTTTTTTATCTAATCGAGGCCACACGAAAATATGTGTCTCTCGGACGCGATTGCTTTATCATCTAGATGTTTTAAGACAGATTGTCATGTTTTTTTTGCCACAAGATCCGGAGTAGGGTTTGTCAAAACGACGGATGATGACTCGTCGAACAAAACAAGCGCGAGGAAATTACGCATTTGCAAATATACACACATTGCACGCGTGGGATTTTCCGCGATTAATTAAATTTTCACGTCGATATAAACTGTTAATAAAGATTTATTTAATTAATTTTCAACAACTATAATTGCTCTTGCACAAATCTTACGGGATTTATTCTATCGGCGTTTCAACACGTCGAGCTTAATTTTGCTTCAAACTCTTTTGTGTACGTTTCTTTGTGGAAAGAATTTTTTTTTTTTAAAGAGATAAAATTATAGAGAGATAAAGTCGTAGAGGCACAGATGTTGTTTGAGAGACAATGAATTTCCGGCGAAATTTCGTTGTTAACATATCACCATATCACGCTAATATCAATTTGATATCTAGATAATATAATCCTAGTGTAAAATCAGTGATATAATATCAAATCAATAATGCAAGATGAGTGCGTGATAAGAAAGGATTTTGATAAACAAAGTGATTATTTAGTATGTAGATAAAACAACATATGTACATGTTAAGTTTAATATCAATGCGCTTATTATCAACGTCACTATCTTTACTTTAAAATTGGTTGTCTTTTGTGAAATAAATTCTGATCAAATGCGCGAGATTATATCGAGCTTCACAAAAAAATATATAACAGTTTATCTCAATTGCAGGTTTGCTTTTTCGCGGTTATCAGAGATAATTTAATTTGCATTTTCATATACAAAAAAAACAAGCGTATACGTCGATATGACGAAGTATGACACATACACAAATAGAAGAATAAAAATATAAGACAAAAAACAAGTTTAGTTTGTACATAGTTTTGTGCAGAAATAATTAATTGGTGATTAATCCGACGAGTCGCAACACGTTACATACAAATAATTTATATAAAATGCAAAGGTGAGGTACGAAAAATATTTATCGAGAAAATTAGCTGTCACACACGCAGCTGTAACAAACTATGTATATATAAATAATATATTTTGCAATTATATAATTATCTAGTTAATTATAAAATTTATCGAGAAAGTACGAGAAAATTGACCTGGTTTTAAAAAGAATAATTGTGATTTGTTTTTTTTCATTAAAAAAATCAATTATGATGCACCAAGATAAATTTCATATTGGACAGTAAATTTTTTTTTTTTTTTATTTATTAAATTTCATATTCTTTGAATGAAAACTGAACGTTTACATATACATATATGAGGGAGGGAGAGACGGAAAAAAATAGAAAAAAAAATGGTCTTCTTTCTCGCGCTACGCGCAAGTGGAGTTTCGAACAAAAATTTAATCTCGCGACCTCTAAAAACATTAACGCGATTGCGCAATGTTTCATATAGAACTTGCCTGTGAAATGCGTCTCCCAAAGCTTCACTTCATTAAATACTAATAAATAGATTAAAAATGCATTACGCCGCCGCGTCTCACATTATCTTGTATAACATAAAAATTAATTAAATAATTAAACGATAAAGTCTCATAAAATTTTTGGTATTAAAATTGCACTTGTGTTTATTTTATATAAAGAGAATTTATATTATCAAGACGCGATAAAATCACCGCCCGCTCGAGAGAAATCGCGCGGGAATTTTGTGCATCAACAACACGATTATTCAATCGCACTCGTTTTTTCTTCGTCAGAAAACGGCGTTGATTAAGAGTCTGCATTATTCAGACACGTGAATATGTCAGGCTCGCTCTCGGAGGTCAGAGTTGAATTTCATCCAGGACCGCAACAGAACCCTCCGGCTTTTCGCGCATTGCGCACAAGCGTAAAACGCACAATGCATATATCGTACGGTTCATATCTAGCGTGCGGCCGCAATTGGAAATCAGATTTGCTGAGTATACGCGTCGCTAAATTTAGTTGCGCGCGAATATAATCTCTCCCCGCCGCGCGTTTTGTCTTGTTTTTCGCTCGCGCGACGAAATGGGAAGAGACAAAAACGAGACAATTGTGTGAAATATTTATTACGGGCAAACGAACGCGCGTTGCCCCGAGCGAACGAACTGCATTCCCGAGTTAAGGTCTTTGTCCAGACACTCGAGGTCTATTCCGTCGGGAAAGGTCTCTCCACACACAGATACGATAATCAATAATCCAGGTATGCGCATCTTCGGACGTGTGTGTGCGCGTGTGGTCGTATACGCGAGCACTCTACGTGTGTATGTGTAACATCGAGTGCCGTTGCGTCGATGACGTTCGCTCTGCAAAGCTGCAGTCATCGATTTCACTTTGCTCTTTTTATATTTCGATTCGCTCGCGAAAAAGGCAAAATGGCAAATCTCCGAATTTTCAAGCTTTGTTTGAGCTCCGGTCAATTCCGATCACGTTCCGTTTTCAAACTTCTCGTAAAGATAAAGTCGCCGTCCACTTTTGCGAAACTCCAACAGAAACCACGAGAAATTTCGCGCGAGTTGAACGGAACAAAAAATTCCTCTCAGATTTCGACGCGATAACGACAATAATTGAGAGAGGAAGTTTTTCAACGCGGAAAGCTGCGAATTGAGTTATATAACGAGTTCCGGCGGCTTTCTCGATCTTAATGAAGAGTTGTCGTGTGAGTAATGACAGTTTTTTTCAAAGGAACTGCGACTAACTGAAGTAATTGGCGTCTCAAACGGAGGGGTTGAAAGCAGCTTTAGTCAAACGACGATTTTGTGAAACAGAGAGATTGATATATACATTTCAATTTTGTTTGCCGTCGAAACGAGGTGTTAAATATTTAAGTTGTTTACAAATTGATTTATGTATTGAGCGAATTCTTCTCTATATTAGAGCTTTAGATATTTTCGCGGATAAAGATAAACGATTTCCTGCCTTATCTCTCTCAGATTTACCCAATTGTCAACGGAAATTTCATATCTGGCGATCGGAGAAGAGACAAGCGCGTCTTTATCAGCATAATATAATCGGTATGTTCAATTACCGTCAACTTCGAAATCGTCTTTGTGATAATGTAATTTTTCTATTATCGTTAATAACGTCAAAATATACAGTTTTTTTTTTTTTATCTTTACCGAGTCGCGACGCGTGTCGTCGAGAGATTTTAATAAAGCGGAAATTTTTGAAATTGAGAATCCCCGAAGATACCTCGTAACAGTCTCTTGCTCAAAGGAAAATCTCTTTCGAGTCGAAATCTTTCACGTCTCCCAATGATGCTCGACATATGAAAATCGAACAGCACAAGGAAAGACCTCTTTCAGCCGTCACGCAAGAAAGTTACGTTGTACGGAAGAGAAGAACGAGATAAGCTTTCCTCGGCGAGAAAGTGTGTGTGTGTGAGAGAGAGAGAGAGAGAGCATTTTCCGTTTTCGATTTTTTGACGAAAAATGCTACGTACTTTTTCATCTCTCGAAGTAGCTCTCGCGTCGGAAAAATGGTATTCGTCAATCTTGCTTTATCCCTCGAACTCTAACCGCAATTACAAAATCGTACGAAAACAACGCGAACGTCAAATTGCATTCGGCAAAATCGAACAAAGCAACGCGAACGTCAAATTGCATTCGGGCGTTTGCTCGAGCAGTTAAAAATCGGCTAGAAAAGCGCCGTGCGCGCGTCATTTTACGTCAAATAGTATTCAGTAGAATAATTCGTGATCTATCGCGCGGAATTGCGCGGACACAACATTTATTGACAGGTCTCTTTCGACGAGCGTGCGCGCGTTAATTTACGCGCCGTAAATAATTACGCACATTACGCCTTGCGCAAATTACATTAAATATATCGCTAGCGAGAGAGCGATGTTCGATAGACAGATGATATTATCTCATTTACTGGTTTTATTGCACATATACATGTGTATCGCGTAAAATAAATTCCATGATGCGTGTAACGCGATGGAAAATGATTATTGATGAAAAAATTTGCGCGTTGGAGAGTTATTGTAATTATTGCTTTCTCTTTTCTCTCTCTTTCTCTTTTTTTTTCTTCTTCTTCTTCGTAGCTTTTCTTGTGTGCGCTTTGCGCGTCATGCTTCGTCACATAATACGCTCTTATCAGAGAGAACAGCATTTTCGACCGCTGTTATTTTATTTTTGCGATGAAAAAGAAATTTCCGCTTTTTTTTTCGAAAACGTCAGAATTATGCAGCGACACGTCCAGGAATCATCCATATGTGATCTATCGAGACTCATTTGAGATTCATTATATTCATAACGACGACGACGACGGAGATCCCGCTATATTGAGAAGGTGAATAACATATCAATATTGACTTTTTTTCAGCCGGTGTGTAAAAAAAAGAACATATAGACGCTCGCACGCGCGCACCGTGGCATCGTTTTTTCTACTATCAGAAAAATGCGTTCGCGATATCGCGCGCGTTTACAGATGTGTTCGCGGAAAAAAAACAAAAAAAAACAAAAGAAAGAAAAAACTAGAATGGAGGGAATAAACGTAATGTACGTGTACGCCATTGTACGTTATAAAAGTTTACTCCTCTGGGTGTAAGTACGTGCAATACGGATAAAAGTGCACAGAAACATCAACTGCACGTTTGTTTCTGCTCACAGGTTAAAGCACGTACGTATTTTAAATCTTGAGAGTCTCGTGCGCGCGCAATGCGATTGCGAGAGTCGCGAATCCCCGTGTACGTGTGTGTGTGTGTGCGCGATCCTGCGAAAGGACTACTCAAACGACTCAACGACACATACGATATTCCAGCTTCTGGAATATTGAGATGTAAAACAACTTTTCTGGCATAACGGATAACGTTACATGCTGATAGCTTCGCGAAGCTGGCTTACATCTGTTTTGCAACATGCGCGTGACAACTTCCTTCGTCGA